TCGACAAAGCACACTGCTGAGGGGAGCAGCGTACGGGTCAGGAGAGGTCTGCCGCGCCGTGTGGGTCAGCTCCTGATGGAACTCGCACTGAAGCGGCTGCGGCCACTGCGGCCAGCTTGCAGCGCTGAGTCCTAACTGGCTGCACCACCAGGGAGGGTCCCAGATTTGCCGTCTAGAAAATGTCTCCATCCTCTGGGTTCGGGGTAGGTAGGAGCGCAGTGAGGAAAGGGAAGCCTTTTTAACATAATTTCCCTTTCACTCTGAATCGGTGTCTTGCGCTAATTAAAATTAGACTCTCTGTGAGGCACTTGTAGAAATGAGGTCCTGAATACTCAACAATCAGCCAGAAAGTAAATGATGAGTCATTTAGATACCACAGGCAAAGTTTCAGAATCCTGGGGATTTGAGGGATTCTGTTTCCTGCAGAGGAGTCACTGAGATCTCCAAATGCTCTCAGGTCACCTCTGCTGCTGCTTCTCCCTTGGTAGAGGCAGCGCTGGCTCACCGCACTGTAGACATGCAGAGATGCCGCTGGGTGGCACTTCAGGTATCGCCACACCACACCTGCCACCAGGACACGCAGAGCCCACCCCCGGGGCCCTCCAACCTGCCCCTGTGGTGGTCTCCAGGGTCAGACTTCCAGGGTGTGTTACTGGTTTGCATCAGTCTGACTCTTTGCTTTTTTAATTTAATTTTTGCCTTTCTATGTCCTTGCCCCAGGCCACCCCACTCCCAGCATCTCTACAGGAGACCTGCCTGACCCCCCGGAGCTCACTGGCTTCCCTGTAATCAGAAGCACCCAGCTTCCCCAGGACCATGGCCCCCTCCCTTCCTGCCTCCTGCCTCCAGGCACACAGACTAGACCAGAGTGGTCTCTTCCTGAGCCTCCATCCCAGCCGGCCTGGTCCCTCCCTCCCCACCCCTCATTTTTGTTCAAGGATCTTTGTCTACATCGCCCTCCTCCAAAACCTTCCCCTGGCCACCTGGCCATGGAACCTCCCCTCTCCTCCAAACCCTGCGCCCTCTGAGCCCAGCTTCATCCCTTGTAGAAGGGAGACACCTTTGCCAGTGTGGTCTCCCAAATGGCAGCCCAGACCAGAGCCACTGCAAGCTAAGGAACAGTGTTTTCCAAACACTTAAGCACTTTCCCAAGAAGCTCCAAAGTGCATCAAGTAGTTGGAAAATGAACACTCAGGCTTTTCGTGCTCTATCACTGTCTTCCGTACGGTCCTCTGGGAACTCCGAAGAACAGGAAATTCCAAGCGGCCCCACAGATCCACCAGCCACGCAAGACGGACTCCGGAAGCAGGAGGCAGGCTGAGCCTCTGTCCCCCGGGAGGAGAGACAGCTCTCGGCGCTCCAGCCTGCAGCTGCCCGGCTCCCTGTCCCTGGCGCATTCGGTTCCAGGACTTGGAAAACACATTCTCTCAAGTCTGCCCATAAATCTGCATTTTAAGTGTTCTGCGGTCCATAATACATAATTTCCATAAAGGGCCGGTGGGATGGAGCACAGCAGGAAGCCAGAGGGAAAAACCAAATGCAGTAGCCCAGATTTAATTTGACGAGCCAAAGTGCTCCGTAAATCATTAGAGCATAGTAAGAGAAGACTAAAACAGAATCATCTTTGTAAAGCCTCCGTTGCCCTCTGTGAAAAATGAAGATGGAGAGGGGATGGTAAATTGTGGTGTCTTCAGCTAATTTTACATGCGCAGATATAAATGACTATTTTTCCCGATAGCGAAAAATAATGAAATCTCCTCTCCTTCCTTCTAACCGTGTTCTCTCTCCAAAGGTTCTGCTCATTGAAAACATGTGGTAGAGAAATAATACGGGACACTGTTCTTAAGGAAAAAAAAATCTAATCGCTCTGTGTTTTATTCCAATATGCAGAGAATAATATGCGCCCCCCCCCCATGATGGTACAATGACAAAATGAGTTAATTACCATCTCATCATAAGACGGATCTACTTGTCATAGGAACAGGAGCCATTATTTCACACAAAATAATGACCCAGATTAAAAGTAATGACGGCAAGCTCTAGCGGTCAGTGGCCAGCTTCATTCAGGCCTAAGTGCATGGCAATTAACAGGTGTCACGCGACACAGACACATTCAATAGGAAGCAGGCTACTCATTAAATATTTGCTAAAAAAAATACAGAGGGCTTTTAGTATATTTCTTCCCAGGAAGCTGTTGTGGTCCTTTACCTGTGTGATGACAGAAAAATTTACACGTGTGTCAAATCCTGCCATCAGTTGGACTAGCTGTTGGGTACCCCGGTCTCCTCTGCTCTCTGCACATGGAGGTGCCATTTGCTTCAGAAACCAGGCCCAACAACAGAGAAGAGGTGCAGGGCTGGGGTGTCCTGCCCCATCTTTGTGTCCCTCTTCTCCTGGTTGTCATGGCCACCAGCTGGGAAACTGAAGCCCCTGCTGGCACTGACACCCAGGCACGTGGGGGCCTTCCACGTCCGGCCCTCGTCCAGGATGGACAGGGCAGGGGTGACAGTCAGCAAAAGCTCAGCACCATGGGTTCTCCAAGGTAGGAACTTGGCTCCTCCTGCTGACACTGACCATGAATGAGAGGAACAATGGCGAGAGAGCTGGGTGTACACCTGCAGACAAACTCTGGGCCAGCTGTCCTCAGGACTGCAAGGTGGGCGTGCAAGGTGTCTCATCTGCCTGGATGCAATTGCTGTGCTGGTGACCAGGACTATGGCCGGGTCAGAGGGGCCACAGCGGGCTGGGAAGGCTACGAGTTTCAAAATGTCTGTCATAGGGTTCTCAAACAAACACTGAAACAGCCAGGGGCAATGACTTATTCTACTAACTACTGAAGGAACCAATACATTGGTATTGGATCCCAAAACACACACACACAACCAGTGGTCCTCACAACAGGTGTGTGTGTGTGTGTGTGTGTAACAGGGAGAACAGTGTGTGTGTGTGTGTGTGTGTGTGTAACAGTGTGTGTAACAGTTTGAACAGTAGTTCAAACCGGCTATGTCCTCTAGGGCACACAAACTGTAACTCTGTTGGATAAATGCCCACTGACACACACCATAGCACAAGGCACCCAAGTGTCCACTATCTGGCCTGCTGTCTCCTTAAGGCCCAACATGGGCACAAAATTAGGGGTCAGTCAGGCAAAGAGGGGGTTTGGCTAAGATAAAAGCACCAGATGACATGTTTGACCAAGAACAGAGCTGACTGCATGGCACAATCTCATGTTTGCATCTTTTCCCTCACCCTTCAAATATTCCAAGCACCTGAGTCTCAATTACACCCCACTTCTCAGGTCGCGGGGTAAATACTCCCTCTGGCCGGTTCTCAACTGAATTTATCAGAACATTTGATCTGCAGCATCCCAGAGAAGATGGCGCTATTCAGAGAGACACCTAACATGCTACATCAACACCCATGTTCTCAGGCTTACACACGTGTGAACAAAATCCATTCTGCTTCATTTAAGTAATGATCTAAATTCTTTTTTGAAAAGATTTATTTCTGCATATAGAACTGGGGTACAGGCCAGAGGTGCAGGGGCGGTGAGAGGCTTCACCAGAGACAGAGTGGGGAGCAGAACAGGCAGACTGACGAAGCACAGTGCTGAGGGGAGCATTGGGCGGGAGAGGTCTGCCACGCCATGTGGATCGGCTCTGGGGCCGGGGATTGAGGCGACAGAGGCCAGCTTGCAGTGCTGTGTCCTAACCCATTGTGCCACCAGGGAGGGCCAGTAATGACCTAAATTCTACCAAGATAGAGAGTCTCCATCATCCTTGTGTGATTACCAGAAATGTGTACTGAAGAGTCCGCTGATTCCTACTCTTCAGGTCTTACCCTGCCCCCCATACACGGCGGTCACTCCCAAGGTCTTGCTGGGCCCAACACACACTCAATCAAAGGGGAAGGTAGGGGACAAGACAAACAGAAAATCACTGGGGCTTTAAAAGGACAAACTAACGCTTTTACTCTTGCAAATCTGTTCTCAACTCTCCTCCCTCACTGCTGTAACAGCTGAGTCCTGGTGCCCTCTCTCCTCCCTCCACTTTCCCTCACTTCCCAGAAACCCTCCAGGTCCCCATCCTGTTCCAGCACAAGCCCAAGGCCAGAGTCTTCCTCATCCTTTCATCTCAGCTCCAGGCACCGCCCTGGTGCCCACACCACAGTATGTCCCTGGTCCCCAGCCCGGTTCTTCCTGGAGCTGCTCACCACGCTCATTCACACTCATCACACAGTGAGGACAGGTGGCCAGGGGGCACAGCTATTTTATTCTCTATGACCCAGCACCGAGCACTGTTTCTGGCCAAAAGTTGACAGTCCCTGATGGTTACTAATGAATCCACTAACTGACGGTGTGGGTTTCAGACTCTAACCATCCCACGGGAGGAGTAAGAGAGAACAAGATCAACATTGAGCCATGAACTTAGCCCCAGTCTGGGCAAGGACATTCCCGCTGTAGTACATGACACGCAACTGAAACTCAGGTGGATGGCACAACTAGCAGTAAGCCCCTGGTGTCATGAAGAGCAATTCAAAATCAGACCCACTTCTGGGCAGAAAATGAATGCCCTGTGACCAGGCAATTTTCCCGGCATAACCACGTGCCGATGGCCACAGGACCCTGACGTGATCCCACACTAAGAAAGGAAGTGGGCTGTGGAAATGAAGACCACAGGACAAGTGAAGGTGGCGTTTGGGGGATTCCACTTTAAGCTCTTGAGAATGGCTCTGGCAGTGGGTGTGGAGGACTGTAGCTGTTATTACCATACAAGTCTTAGAAGAAAGAGTCCCAGAGTCCCGCCAACCTGTGGGGGACAGGGAACACCTGGCTGCAGAGTCAGCTCCTGTTGGAGTGATGTATAGGAGGGGGCTTCCCAGGCCCTGGCCAGAGGTGCTGGCCACCGCCCTGCCTGGGGAGTGGGGTGCCCTGTCCTGAGCCAGTTCCAGCCTGTTCACTCAGGAGACAGCTCTTCAATCCCTCTGACTGTAGGACTCACCTTCTTCACGAACTCTGGGATGATTTTTTGGCCTCTCAGGCTTAAGGAGGAAGAACAATCTAATTCCAAGACGTAGCCTTCATTTTGAAGATCAGTTTTCTGAGATCTGAAGAGAGGAGCCAACACAGACACACAAGTTAACATTGTGCATAAAATACTTTTAAAAATCATTAGGTGTTTAATAGAACCCCAAATTCTTTCCTGAAAGTAAATGCCAAAAAAAGGACCTGCTGGAAATTAATTTTATGGTAAACAGCTCAAATAATAGGAGGAAATCTGCATCATGGAGAGACCCAAAATATACCAGCAAGTAAAACAGATGAGCATAAAATGAGGGGTTTTGCACAACATGGCTTATATATTAAACCACTTACATATCCCTCCCCCACCACTCACACACACACACACACACACACACTCACATACCCCCGCCCACACACACACACTCACACACTCCCCTCTCACACACACATACTCACAAACCCACCTCACTCACACACACATACATGCATTCATATACCCCCCACTTAACACACACACACATACATACCCCCCACTCACACACTCACACTGCACGCACACACACACTCTAATAATGTAGATTTCCCACTGGTTTCTATCTGTCTGGACATAGAAAAAGAACCAGCAAAGCACACACCAAACCAGGAACAGCAATTATCTGGGGGACAGAAGAGGGGGTCTCTGTGGGAACTGGTATTGTGGGGGATGGGATGGTGTCCCAAAGGGACTTAAGCTGTGTCTCTCACTGTATTTCACCTTCTCTGAAGAGATCATACCCCTCCCTGTATGACTTTGAACATGAACAGTTAATTTTCAAAAGCCTTGAAAGAGTTAAACCTGAGCAGAGAGCAATTCTACACAATCTATCAAAATTAAAGAGGTATTAAAAATGGGTAAGTCAACTTGAGGAGAAATTCTGGCAATGGAATAGGTGTGAAGGGCTGTTAAGGCAAACACAGTCAGAGCTGACTGGCCAACGTGGCCCCACCACCTGCCACGAGGTGTGCACACCCCTCCCACAGCACCGTGACCAGCCAGGAGACCCGGAGGCAGGTGGTCTCAGGACATTCCACTGCTCTTCCTGTGAGGGGTTCCTGTAGGGCACCAACACGGGCCTGAGGAAATTCTGGCCACCACAGAGTGGTCAGAATGTGAAGGTGACTCACTAGCTCAATCGGGGGTCTGGCAAGAGGAAGCAGGATTGTCGCTAAGGGTCCACCGGCCATCTTCTCTTCTGGGTGCTGGTCCTGAGACTTAGGGACCATGGCCTCAGGTCTGTCCAGGGTGCGCCCCCCATACACGGTCCCCCTCCACTGGGAAGGGATGGACAGACCCTGCCAGGCACCTACGGAGAGCTCTATCAAGAACAATCCCTGCCAGTCCCTCTGAGAGCTTGCTCTGGCCAGAAAATTCTTAGTTTCACACTGAACTCTTGAGGCACACATATTTTTAAAATGAATTTCTAAGGCTCTTATATATCATTAAAAGCAAATTTATGCTACTATTAACCATCTGGGTATGATTTACATAAAATTCAAAAGTGAAAAATTAAAGAGGATTTGGTTCCCCCCAGGTGTATAACTGGCACCAGGTAAGCATGCTTTAATTTCATTTCTCCTTCTAACACCTCCTTTCAGGAGTAGGACTGAGGCACATGCTTTTAAGTTTTTTTTTTTTTTTTTTTAACTGCTTTCAACTGGTCAAGATGGAATAAACTAATTACAAACAAACAAACTAGTGCTGAACCCCAGTCTTCTTGCCATGAAACTTCACCGGAAAAAGCAAAGGAAGAGATAAAAAGAAACCCGAGGAATCTGACTGCAGATTTGAGGGGGGATGATGGAAGTGGGGGTAAAGGGGCAGGGGGCCAGTGACCTAATTTGGAGGACTATGGGTGCCCTGGTGGTGAGTGTGATATGAACCAATGTTACTTCAATACATACAATGAAAAATGAAAATTTCCAGAGACCAGAATCATGTTTTCATTTTGTCCCACAAAAGAGATATTAATAGGAACTAAAGCAGATTACAGGCTTTTGAAAGAAAAGACTTGGTCCAGACATACTGCTGTATACATCATTGTGTGGGATCCCAACAACAAAGACAGGGAGGGGGGAAAGAAAGTTCTTAAATGTGAAATCCCAGCTGCAACGTCCCATAGAGACTAACGTCAGACTGTGTGAGGTTATTTATAAGTACCTCTGAGATTTTAAATGGTTGGGTTGAAAAAGAATGATCATTTTATGTAAGTCAACACTGTGTCCTGTAAAATACCCATAAAATGAGTGAAGGGAAGATGAAACTGTCTTGAAGCAACTTAAGAGTCCAGACTCATAAGAAATAATCACTAGTACAATTGAATAACAACCACCTTTGGTTCTGGAGTAAGGAGCCTAGATGGAGAAAGCAGCTCTGGTTCATTTCATCAGATAATTAGCTCAGTGAAAGGAGCACTAAAGATCAACAAAAATGGGCATTATTACAAATTTTCTAGATGAACCATGAACAAAATCTCAGTCTATGGTTGCTTGGAAAAGCTCCAATGCATATTGGGGAAATAAATGAGATTGCTCCTCCCCTTAAGAACTACTTACACATTTTTAAATGAAAGGACTGTAGTACTGAAGAAGGGTTGAAAGGGAGAGAAGGTGGTAAAGACCCCTGAATCCTCTGAGGACAGAGCTGGCTGCTCAATTCTTGATGTATGCATTCCGTGAGGATGCTGGGTGAGAGCTGGGTGAAGCCACAGTCACATAAGAGTCTCTCTCCCTGCTGCTAATCCTATGAAAAACACCATTAGACCCACAAATAGAGCTGACTTATATAAACAAGGCTGCCTGGAGGAATTTGGGGGTGGAGATGTGGGGTAGTAAATATGGTTACTGTGGTGAATACACCCTAAGGTGACCTCCACCCCCACCCCCCTCCCACCCAATGATCTCTATCTACCTTCTGAAGTTCATGCTTTGTACATCCCTCCCCCGGATGGGACAGGAACAATGATAATTTTAAACTATAAGTCTCCAGCATCATAGACTATAGCTAGACTCCCCTTGCTGGTTGAGGAAGTAAGAGGGTCAAGTACCCTTGCCAGTGGCCCAAATAACAAGGGATCTCAGTTCTACAGCTGCAGGGAGACAGGTTCTGCCCAAAAACGAAGCAAGTATAGAAGCAGATCTTTCCTCAGTTGAGCTTTTGGTGAGACCAAAACTCCATGTCCTGAGGAGACGGACAGAGAAGTCACATAAGCTACAGAAGTTGAGGTAATAGATGGATATTGTTCTAAGGCACCATATTTATGATAATTGAATGCAGAGTGTAGAAAATTAATAGTTACTGAGGAAGGAAACAATGCAGCTGTAAGCTCAGAACATGGGGCTACTGGTGGCCAGACGCATGAGATGCAGCCAGACACGAGACCAGCTTCTGTCAGCCCTCAGAACTCCAGCCCCTGCATCCAAGGCCAGAGGGACAAGCATCCCCAGGAAGAGGCCCAGGAGCTGCAAGGAACTATAGCATGAGGGAACAGACCATCCACAGCCAAGCAAGTTCCCAAGGCAGCAGCAGTAACTGGAACTCCCCAATTTGTCACCCTCCCGGGGAGCAGGGAAAATACCACATATGATTTCCCAAAGGCCACGTCCTTGCTTCATCCTGGAAAAACATATGGGAAATCACCAAACTTCCCCCGAATGCCCAGATGGCTTCCACTTCTGGAAAGGACGAGATCTGGATTTAAACAGGAAGACAAGAAGAAAGGGAACAGAATGCATTCCTGGAGATGAAGTTCACTGCCAGCAAAGCCTCCCTTCTGTGGAAAGGCACACCAAGGCTCCGAGATTAAATGCAGACACTCTGGGAAAAGCATTGTGAGCGGTGAAATATGCTTCTCCACTTCCCTACAAACCCTACTCTCTAATTTCCTCTAGATTTATTAATTAGAGGTTTCAGGTTCTGGAACTAAGAAGACTTGGGTCATTAACCAGCTATGTATGTGCCTCTGGGCTCTTTATTTAAACTTTCTGTGGCTGTTAAATGGGAATGTTCTGACTAGCTACCTCGTAGCATTGCTGTATAAGGCAAAATGCGCATAATGTCCTTAGCCCAGGGTATGGCAAGTATTTTGGGCTCAACAATTATTGGTGGCTACTGTTCTATTACTGTAATCTGTGAGTTTATTCTCTCCTCAGCTAGTGCTCTTCAGAGTTCATCATTGCTCATCCACTCCACAAAACTTTACTACTGTGTGCCAGACACTATTCTTTGCATACATCAAACAGAAGTGGCAAAATTCCTCTATTATGTACAAGAGTACATAATAGAGGATTTCAAGGATGGTTACATTTAAAGAAGAAGAAAAAAAAAGAACAGTATAGAGAGTGGGGTGGAGGGGTTGCAGTTGAATGAAGCTGGTCAGGGAGGCCTCATGGAGAAGGTGACATTTGAAGTAAAGATCTAAAGGAGCTGAGAGATTTGGCCAGGCGGGTCTCCAGGAATAAGAGCTTCCAGGGAGCAGGGACAGCCTGCAAAGGACCTAAACTGAGCTCATACAGAGTGGGACAGGAGCTCATCAAAGAGAGGGCAGGGGAGGGAGAAAGGGAAAGGAAGAAAGCCAGAGAGTGCTGGGGATCCAGGCAGTTCAGACCCCACGCCCCCCCCCACCCCAAGACTGTGGGTCTGATTCAGGATGACAGGAGAGGCCCTTAGAGCATATTAACAGAGAAGATCTACCCTGGAGTCACCTGGGGGCTGGCACAGATTCTGAGTTAATGCGCACGAGGCGAACTAGGGAAACGGACTTTGGAAACTCCCCAGCGACTCTGTGGAGCAGAGCACTGAACCAAGGCCTTGGTCTGGGGGGGGGGGGGTTGTAGGGTTGGGGGGTTGTATCTGCCACCCTTTGGGAATCTCCCAGGAGATAACTGAAAGAAAAAAACACAGAAGCAATGACTTGAAGAGACCAATCATTTTCTTGTTGGCTTTACAGACACCTCTATTTTTAAAATGAGAACAAAGAAGTTTCTAGATTGTTCCCCCCCCAACCCCCTTTGGTCAAAAAATATCTTCTTTCACTAATTTTTGGCT